GGAGGGCAGTGTCACTGGCCCTCATATGTGGGATCCGAACCGGGGCCCTCTGGCATCCCAAGCGAGTTCTTAACCATCGCGCCACTCGGCCGGCCCAGGAGCAGTCACTTCTCATCCCCCTCCCCCAGCCCCTGACAGCCACCAACCTACTTCTTGTCTCTGTGGATTTGCCTGTTCTGGCCATTTCATTTACATGGGATCACACACTGTGTCACCTTTTGTGTCTGTTCTTTTGTGGAAAAAAAACCTCAGCATGATGTTTTCTAGGTTCGTCCATGTTGTAGCACGTGTCAGTGCTTCATTCCTTTTGATGGCTGAGTAATATTCCACTGTGTGGATGTGTTACTATTTATTTAATCCATTCATTCGTTGATGGCCATTTGGGTTATTTTTAACTCTTGGTGACTGTAACTAGTGCTGCTGTGAATATTATGTACAAGTCTTGGTGTGAACACGTTTTCATTTCTCTTGGTCTATACCTAGAAGTGGAACTGCTGGGTCATATGGCGATTCTATGTTTATCTTATTGAGGAGCCGCTAGTCGTTTTCCAAAGTGGCTACACATTCACATTCCATCAGCAATGTATACGCGAGCTCCAATTTCCCCACATCCTCATCGACACTGTTGTTTCCCGATTTTTTATTTGTTTTTGTTTTTTTTTTTTAGTCTAGCCAGCCTAGTGGGTGTCAGGTGGTATCTCATTGTGGTTTGATTTGCGTTTCCCTGATGACTAATGACGTTGAGCAACTTTTCATGTGCCCGTCAGCCATTGGTATATCCTTCGGAGAAATGTCTATTCGAATCCTTTGCTCATTTTACATTGGCTTAGTTATCTTTTTATTATTGAGTTGTGAGAGTTCTTTATCTATTCTGGATATGAATCCCTTGCTGGACATATGACTTGCAAGCATTTTCTCCCATTCTGTGGGTTATCTTTTCATTCTCCTAAGGGTGTCATTTGTGGAAGAAAAGTTGCAAATTTGATGGAGTCCAACTTATGTATGCATATTTTCCTCTGGTCACTTGTGCTTTAGATGTCATAGCTAAGAATTTTTCTGGTTCCTGCAGGCATCTGCCCTGTTCTCCCTCAAGTCCCCTTGAACCTTCCCCCACTGGGGTTGGGACATCTGCGTTCACCTCTGTCTCTCCCCACAGGAGGCTCTGGGGCAGCACCAAGCAGCCTCCATCAATATTTAATAACGGAGCACACGAAACTTTGGCAGGGACGTGGGAAACTGCGGCTGGAGCCATCTGCTTTTTGGCCATTAGCCAGCGAAGTGCCCTCAGTACCCACACAAGGCCCCACTTTCCAGGTGGAGAAACCGAGGCATGGGGCGGCGGCTGGGTGGGAAACTGGACCGGCCTGGTCCTGGTGTTGGGACAACGGCAGAGGTCACTGTTTCTGTTCTGGCGTGGAGCCACTCCTGGCTCCTGTCCCGCTCTGGGCCAACCCTGCCCAGT